TACGACGTCGTCCTCGTGCTCGTCGTCTTCTTCGTCCTCGTCATCCGCATGTTCGCCTGCCTCCTCGTTCTCGCTTGCCGTGCAGCACCTGTCGTCGGTCACTGCCCTTGCGTCCCCTCTGCTACAGAGTGCCGCCGCTGGCGGGTTCAACCCGTTTCTACCGAGTCCGCTCAACTTCTGGACATCGGTCAGTCCCCTGCCGGTCAGTCCGTTGTTTTGCTCTCCGGCCACATTCCAGTTCCCAACGTCGATGATCGCCGGCAGCCCGACGATGACCAACGCCGCAGCTGCTATGTTCTTCAATGCCCAGTCGGCGGCCATGTTGCAGGACAGTTTCGCCACTGCCAAGCTCACCACCAATTTCGGACTGTACGGTAAGGTCGGTAGCTACGCGGGAAGTGGCGAGTCGGCGCTCACGTCCTGATAATCGTTTCTTGCCAGAAGCGGTTGCTATGGATGGTCTGGTAGATGGACAGAGAACGACCGCTGTTCCCCCGTCCATCCGCCTGTACAGAAGAGAAGACGGAGCCTTACGGTGGTGAGCATTGTTGTTGCCAGTGGTCAGTACTGCCGATGACGACCAGAGTTGACCATTGCGACGACGCGACGTCGATTGCAGGACATGCCGATAGTCGTCGCCGTCTCCACGGATCGCCGACACCTCTTACCGAGCCGACCGATCGACCGTATTTTGGTTTCGGTTATTGTTAGCCCCTTTCTGTTACAAGCGTGTGGCGTGATAGGCTAACTTTTTTGCTTTTTTCTGGGTAACACAATGATTTTCTCTGTTTGTTTGTTTTCTCTGACCGCTGCTGCTCTTTCGACGTTGTGGACGTGGCGTGACAACCATCTGTCGGACGAATCGCATAGCGTTACAAACGCTCCCTCCCTTTGTTGCCTATATTTTTCCGTCGACGGCCGAAACAGTGGTGACGACGCGTTTAAAGTATCTGTGTGCTGTCAGCCGTGACCATAGGACCGGATAAAGACGAATGACGATTGTTTTCATTATACAGACGAAAAGCAACGAACCTATGTACCGTACCGTGCCTTGTATTTGCGTAACACTTTTGTCTAGATTATCCTGACGTGCCTTCAAGTTAACAAAGTTCTGTAATTTTTTTCGAAAAAAATATGCTGACAAACTTTGTTGTTGTTGTCTGGTTGTTGTTTACTTATTATGGTTAAAAAACGGAGTCAAATGACAGCAACCTCGTGCCGACTATCATCACGGATAGTTAACGATCGGGTGGGTCAAGGCGAATTGCAACTCTGACAGGCGGTGCTTTCAGAGGGCGGCATGGTGGTACCTGTCATTCATTCTTGTATGACTTCACCAGAACACCATTCTGGGACGTGTTGCGTGTCGGTCTACGCGATGAGTGTCAGACAACAATTAATGTAACGGATTCGAACTGAAGTAAAATCAGAGATATTCTCCGTAACTGCACCGGCAGCCACAAATAATACTGATCCTTTCTTTTCCGTAACGGTCGACTAATTGAACAGTGGTAATGAAACGATGATAAATTTTCATAGTTATGCAGAACAGACTGCTTAGCTGAGTGAAACACCGACAGGGCCATCAGATTAAAGAATAATGGAAACCGTTTATTGTCCTTTCTGCCCGGCTGTCTCCTTACAAAGCACTGGAAGCGGTGACATTGCTTGGAACGAATTATATTCGAAATAATCTAACATTATTAATGTATAAACATTGTCACCGGTCGGCATTGCACTAACAAAGTATGGCGACGGCGTTGAACGCTTGCATGCATACGTAATTTATGGCCGTGTTCGACTAAGGCTACTTCGTCCATGTTCCCATCTCCTGGTCTGTTTCTGGGTCGTTGCAAAGGCATGCAGTTGTGAGTTTGAAGCTCTGTTGTAACGTTGCAACATGACAGATTATGATTGACACCGGTTTTACAGTGGTACATGTTTGTGATGGTCAGGTAATACAGTGAACGGTCCGGTTTGCTTTGACGTCACACCATTATGCGTAATTCTTCCAATACCAGATTGTCACTGTCCCTTATTCACGGTTGGTTTAGGGGCATCTGAACAGGCCACTGTTCCATGATTGAGCATCTGCAGATGCTTCTCGCATCGTTTTGTTCGTCAGAGTCACCTCGAGCTTATTACGAAAGATATTTCAGGAGCTGATAAGCCATATGTGCCTCCCATCATTGACGGCCTGAAGGTTACTGATACTAACTGAAGTAGCATTTAGTTTTAGACCTGAAAAAATGCATACAACTGGTAGAGCGGTTACTGGTTGAACGTGTGATTTGTGCGGTGATATGGCATTGTACTCGATGATGACCGTGCATGCGATAGCGTTGCCTCTTGTCGGTAGCGTCCTAACGAATCCCCGAGTATTGCAGCGTTGGTTCACGCGTTCAGCCGGAACATCGACCCTGAACCCCCCTCCTTTTATTTTCTGTGTGCGTGTCTTCTGTCGACAGAGTGACTTTGTGTGTCGGCTCCGTACACTGGCTGAGAACGGTGCTTTAATGCGTTACGACCGGCAACCAGCTGTGCTCCCTACCTACTGTCACGGTAAACTGCAGTACCACAGAACGTTCATAATCTTGGGGGGGGGGCAGTTACCCAATCAAGGCCGACTTATTCTGCAGGTGACTTCTACTGTCACGTGCCGTTTTATTTCACTCACTCGTTCGTGGTGGAGGGAAAAGCGGTTCGTTGCGTTAGAAGATGTGATCATAGATCGAAACGGAAACGAATTCTTCTGGATCTGGTGATGGCGAAAAGAAGACGGTCGCTCTTAAATAACTGGTTAGCACTCGTTGGCTTTTTCAAGGCAGGAACAACTTTTTGATCTAATTTTTTCATAATCGTACTTGCACGATTCTTGCTTCATCAAACAGCGGTCGGCATTAATTTTTCATACTGTGCTTGTTTTCGACGTTCCTAGCTTGTTTCTGAGCGTGAGCCGGCAAAACCTCTTGGATATGCTTAGATTTGAGTGCACTGAGGGAAGACGACCAAAAACTTGTCAGTCTATTCTGTGTTATCCGCTATGCAACGGTTCTTGTGGCAGAGCAGCAGCTGTCGCCAATTTTTCGACGAGTCTCATGCCGGTGGTAAGAATCCCGTTGGGACTGCGGTTCTTTGTTCCCTGTCATGAAGTTTACTGTGGTTTGAAAGTTGTTGTTTGCGATATGACCAGGAGTCTTAGCAAGATGTTATGGCAAATAGTGTAGTATAAAGTACTGGATCAAGATTATAAGATTATTACAGTACATAAAGTCAAAACCAATAAAACTACATACATTAAACCAGGCACACTGTCTGTCGTGACGGCTCAATATTCTACGCCCGATTATAGTTTTTACTGCCATATGATTCCGTACATGCTCAATCCTCCCTCTTCACGATGGGGACTCCGAGAATAGACCATGGAGTAGGACCATAGACCAATTCAGTAGTCTGGTCCAAGATTCAGCATCCGCTGTTTCTTCGCTGATAGCCCTTTGTAAACCTTGACATCAGGTGTAAAGTGAACGGTCGGATTCGTGATCGGTGGTCTGGCTAAAATCTCACATGCCGTTCGCCTGATCTTTTGTTTACAAAACGGTCCGTCGTAGGACATAACGGATCATCGTCGACGTTAGTTCGGATGCGCGCTTCTTCGGTCAGCAAATTGCT